CGGAGATCCTGGAGGTTAGCCTTCTCTCCCCAGACCTCAATGAGCTCCAGGATTTCTGCACCAGACCAGGAAGGGGCCCTCCTCTTCCACCCTGGCCAGGGGCTTTGGAGCTGGCTGCTGGCTCACTTGCAGCCCTGGGGGGCTTGATGGGAGAGCTGGAGTCACTCATGACCTCATTGAATGGTGCTGCTGTGTGGCACAGATTTCACAGGGCTGGTTGGGGCCACAAGCCCCTGCCCTTCTGCCTGAACCTTTAAAGGCAGCAGGGGAAGGGAAACTACATAGTTTTGAGGGGTGTGGACACAGTGGCCACCAGGGCAGCTGTGAGAAGCCCTGGAGGCCAATTATTTCAAAATAAGCACAGCTGTGCAGTCCATACTCCCCCTATTTCAAAATAGCTATTATTCCTCATGAAATGAGAGGGTTTTATTTCAAAATAACAAGAGTTATTTTGAAATAATGCTGTAGTGTAGACAAGCCTTGCTTGAAGAATGCTCATACGTAGCCAAAAAAAAAAAGTACAGTGTGCACCATACTGACCAGTTCACAATTTCTTTGCATGACGAACTTCTCCAACGATGCCTGAGGACCACAAATATTCTCATTCTGCCTGTCTCTTGCCAGGGACAATAGAGGGAAAAGAACAGCCGTCTTTCCCTCAACCGACTGAATGCAAGTTCTTAGAAGTTACAGTTGGCAAATATCCCTAAGCTTCATTCTCCTTTCAGTATAGGACTGCCTTCTCAGTAGATTACTTTTTAGTTCTTTGTCCATTTTAAATCTCTCAAATCCTGGAGCTTTCAATGATCTCTGCAGGATTATTCCACAATCTGGTAGAACTCGCCTTTTGGAATTTGTTCTTGGTTCAGACTCTAGTTTTCTTTTCTTTTGACTGTTTTCTTATAGCTCTGAATATTTGTATCTGCTCTTTCTAAACATTGTAAACTATATACATGATGGGAATTAGAAAAAAGTATAGTCTGGTGAGCAAGGGACTAACCCCAGGATTCAAGCAATTGGGGTCAATTCCCAACTGTACTACAGGCTTTCTGTGTGATCTTGGGCAAGTTACTTTATCTCTCTATGTATTCATTTCTCCATTTATAGAATGAGGACAATATTTTCCTTCCTCCTAGGATCAATTTGTTAATGGTTACAAGGTGCTTTATCACTTAATCTAGATCGACTTAAAATGGGGCACCAATTAAGTTCAACAAAATTAATTTATGTACTCTTATTTATTCCTGCTAGTTTTCAGAGAATGTCTCAGCACATTTACTTTCTCCTTTACCTCTCTCACTCTTGTTGTTTTCAAGATGTTGGAGCATTTTTTGAAGAGGGGATGTGGCTCCGGTACAATTTCCAGGTCCCAGGGATCAGTGCAAAGGACTTAGTCAGCCGAACTATGTTGAGCTCTACAGACCATGATAACACTGTGCCAGACCTCACCTTGAATAAAGAAGCACTCAGTTTCAGCTTCAGTACCACCAAGTCCCCTTGTGTTCTCCTGTACATCAGCTCTTACGCCCAGGACTACATGGCAGTTCTTGTCAAGCCATCTGGTAAGCGTTTCTTCACAAAACTTATAACTAATACAAAAAATTGGTACTTTCTAGCCCAAGCAAAATCCATGAGCTAATGGGAAGATTTCTCCAGCTATGTAATTTCAAATGAGAACACATCAGGTCTGATTCAGTATTTTATTGCACAAGATTTACACTGGTGTAACTCATTTCAAGTCAATGGAGTCACCTGTAAATAATGTAACAGAGTGGGAAGTCAGGCCCAGAGGGTGGATTGTGATTCTGGCATTAAAACCCAAAGCAGTATCCATTTTAATAAATATAAAATACAGTGGTTAGATTAGATGGTAGGGAAGCGGTTTTGAAGTCAGGTCCTTGAATTCATGTGTATTGTATACAACCTATTATTTTCTGTCCCCATCAATTTTTTTCTAAACATTTTCTTAACCTCTCCCATCACCAAGGGTCTGTTCCAGCTTCTGCTGATGTCAGTAGGCGTTTTACTGTTGACTTCAAGAGAAGTAAGAATAGGCTTCACATGAGGAAAAACTACAAAATATTACTTTATAAAAATCATAAATAAGGAAGGCTTGGGGTCTAATGGTTGGAGCACAGGTCTGAGTGACAAGAGTTATGGCTTCTGTAACTGGCTCAATCCCTGAATTGCTGAGACAGGGACAAATCTGTGTGTGTCACTGTCTCTACATAAGACATAAAGCGAATACCCATCTCACAGAAGGGATTTGGGTGATAATCAGTTTGGGCTACTGCCACTTTAGGGACTAAAATTTCAAATCTCATGGGGATTCCCAAAACAATGGCCCAAACCCCACTGATGTCTAAACTCATTCAGTGCCTACATTTTTTGCAGTAAAAGTTTCTTAGGTGCATGGCTGTTGGGGCATTTACCTAAGAGATGGCAGATTTGTGTTTATATTCCTTCTTCCCATCAAGTGGATTAGGGGACTTGAACCAAGGATCTATAATTACTGGGCTAAAAGCAATGGTGGGCAACCTGCAGCCTGTGGGCCGAATGCAACCCACGGAGGCTACACCTGTGACCCATGGACCCCCTGGCTGCCCCCATCCCTGGAGCTCTTCTTCACGAATATAGTATAGGTTCCTATTGCCAAGCAATGGTTTGAAGCTGAAAATCCCAAGCAAAGGGAAGTGCCTATGTTGCAAGAGAGGAGGAAGGACTTAGCGTATACCTCTTGACTTGGCAACTCCCATTGGTTACCTTAAGTGAGGAGCCTCCTAGCATGCTAGGTATTTTTTTTTTTAGTCCTGTTGTGAGGCTCTAGTCTTTCCTCATTCACTTTACAGGGAGCCAAGGTGCCTGGCTTTGTGAATCCTAGGGGTTTTCTAGGTTTCTAAAAGTTAGGTGTGATGCAGATGAGTGCCATCACACCTCAGTTACTTTAAAGCACTCTGATATCTGATGTTCTTATTGCCCCTCCCACTGCTCCCCCTAAAATTAGTTTGTTACATAATCAAAATGAATATAGGGAAAGTCAATGACTTAATACTACAGACTCCTATGTTTGTGAGTTACTTTATTCATATGCCAGTGCTTTCAGGATCAAGCTCTAAGGATCTTACTCAATCCCACTTAATTCTAAGCAGACACAATATCAACTCAGTCTAAAATGTTTAGTGCTACTTAATGTTGGGGAGAGAAGAGCAGTGAGAAGGTGACTGGTGTTTCTGAGACAAGAAGGAGTGCTTATGGACAAGATGGAATTTTTTTTCAGTTTGCTTTAGGACTGATGCATTATATAGAATTTTAAAAACTTCAGAGGGGTAAGCGAGTTAGTCTGTAACAGGAAAAACTTAAAAAACAACAAATAGTCTAGTAGCACCTTAAAGACTAACAAAACATATAGATGGTATCATGAGCTTTCTTGGGCACATCTGAAGAAGTGCCCAGGCTTTTAGTGGTTTATTAAGAACCCATCAAAACTCCCAGATGCATTTATATCTTTTTAAAATAAGTTCCTATCCTCACATTAACAATAAATAGACAGCTGTGCCTTTGTCGAGCCCATTGACTTCCCACAGCCCGCGTATTATAAATTGCCATATTGATTATTTAATTCTAAGTTTATAACAGTAACATCAGGAAATACAGATTGAACCTTTCCTACAGAATTACAACTCAAATATAAGGTTAGAACAATATAGTTAAGATTTTCAGTAAAGGTTGCTTTAAATCTACACCTAAATTCACTTTTAGGCACTCAAACAACTGGCCTAATTTTCATTACCTCATAGTAATGTCTGTTGAAGTCAGTGGAAATTTTTAGGGACATGTCTAGTGAAGACCTGCTAATTTGAACTGAGAGGGCACCAGTACTCCTGCTCCTCACAAAGAGTAAGGGAACCCAACAAGAGCAGTTGCTACTGTCAACCTTCTGCTGTGTGGACAGTGATTTAGGATACATCGACTCCAGGTATGTAATTAACGTAGCTGGAGTTGCATATCTTAAGTTGACCTTCTCTTTTAGTGTAGATATGCACTTCTGAAAATCTGGCCAGCCATTTATGCCTAAATATGCACTTAGAAGTAGAGCTAGCTAGAAAATAGTAAGTGATAGAAGTGTAAAATGTTGGCTTTTTGTTAAAATAGCAGAAAAAGAAAATATTTTGATACAAAATGATGCTGCCAGGTTTCATGGGAGTTTTAGTTAGGATGCCTTATGCTCCCGTTCTCTTCTGTGGATTGGCCTCTTAGGCCAGGCTATATCTTTAAAAATGCACAATGTTTCCCTCTCTTTGGCTATGTCTATACTACATGCCTATTTCAAAATATTATTTTGAAATAACGAGCTTCTTATTCCAACTTCTGTCACCCTCATTTCACGAGGAGTAAGGGAAGTCGAAGGAAGAGTGTTCTTCCTGTGACATCCTGTGTGTAGACAGCACCAAAGCCAAGTTGAGCTACTTCGACTTCAGCAATGCAATTAACGTAGGTGTAGTTGCGTAGCTTAACTTGGCTTTAGCCTGCAGTATAGACGTACCCTTGGTGCGGGGAGAGAATGCATCATAGGAGTCCCTGGTCATGCTGCATCTATGGAAGAAATAATCTAGATAAAGAGGAAGAAAGCATAAGATACCTGAACTATAGTTCACACGGTGCAGAACTGCATCTTTATAAATCAGAATATTTGGGGGTTTGTCTAAAAACTGGCAACTTTGGTGTGATAGCATTCCATTTTTTTTATTAAATATTGAAATTTTCTGCAAAAAATGTTCTGAAAAAAATTAATTTCCCATTGAAAGAGCTGCAACAAAAAAAATTGACCAATTCTGCTTAGCAACCTCACTTGAGGCACCCATTTGTCAAAACACTTGTTCATAAAATATTAAAAGTTTGTTTTTCAGAAGACCCCAAGGATAGCTGACACATAAACAACTAAGGGGGATGAAAAGAAAACCTTTTTTGTTCACATACTATGTCAATATCTGTCATAAATCAGCTCTTACTACACCTATCTTTATTTTAGTGATGGAAATCCTTATTGCCTCTTCCTAATAAAACTAGTATTTTCTTGTTCTGTATTTAGCTTTAAAATTGTATTTGAACAAGGATAACAGTCTCAAAAATACATTTTGCTTTACATGCTTAAATTTGTAAGTCACTTTCATCCCAATACATGCATAGTTCTGACTTATTTGATTTTTAGCTGCTTTGGTTTTGGGATGCTTGTCAATGTCTGGTTTATGGTTGTAAACTGGAAACAGTACCCCCACTATATTTCAGTGATCAGGCAGTGACTCTTCCTGTTTAAATTCTGCTGCAGCAGAGCTCAACTCCAAGAGTCAGGCCTGCTGACAGAAGGGACAAAGGGGGCGATTGCCCAGGGGCCCACCCAGGTGAGTTAAAGGGCCAGGGCAGGCCACAAGCTCTGCCACCTTCACGACAGTGCTAAAGCAGGCTTCCTGCCCACTCTAGTTCTGTGCTGCTCCTGAAAGCTGCCAGCACATCCCTACTGCCCCTGGCAAGGTGGTGGTGGTGGGGGGGTTAAATGTGAAATTACAGAGGTCATAAGTGAAAAGTTAAATGAGGAGGGAAAGAAAGCTCTGGGAAATAAAGATATAAATAGCTACAAATGCTGTACATTTCTTTCTGTAGGAAGCTTACAGATTCGTTACAACCTAGGAGGCACTAGAGAGCCATATAACATTGATGTAGACCACAGAAACATGGCAAATGGACAGCCACACAGTGTTAACATCACACGGAATGAAAGGGACATAATTCTCCAGGTAAATATACATCTATCCTTTGGATACTATATAGCTTTATCAGTAACAGTGATAACAATAGTAATTGGTATTCCTGTGATCATTCCATATAAGATATGAATGCATGTTACAAACATAGCAAAACTGATCTCCTGTCTACTGTCTAGTCATTGGAGTATCCTTCCTCCCCTTTCTTTCTTACCTCAGATATGTCTACTCTTACATTTCTAAATATGAATATATTCACTGAATGGTGCTATAGTTAATGGAGCTATTCAAGAGAATAAAGTTAGAGATGTGCATTAAGTGTTGGCAAGATTTAGAATGTAAGTGAAGGCGTATGATTGAGGGCATAGGACTCTAAAGGTACATCTACACAGCAGTGTTATTTTGGAATAACTAACGTTATTCCAAAATAACATAGTCTACACACAAGCAGCCTCAATTTACTTCTCTGTAAATGAGCACGATGCTATTTACATGCCTCACAGAGCACTATGAGAAGCAATTAATGTTTTCCAAATATTTATTTAAATATATGTTAATTAGCTTCACTTTCTGTTCCATATATATATATATATGGAAAATATTGAATGATGTGGTATAAAACTTTATTGCCACGAGTTTCAGATAGACTGAATACTTATGAATGGCAAACCAAAAATAAAATAGGCATACCATCCAGACAAGTGCCAATAAAAACTTCATACCACACCACAGATTCATTTATTGTACAAATACTTCACATTTTACAGAAATGCTATTGTAGAAATAGTTTGGAATTATTCAGACGTGGTTCTGGCAGTTTTTCATGTTCTTCTGCATTTATAGCTAAGCTATCTTAGTACCATGATTCTAGCTGTCTGAGCCTTAGGAACAGAGGAAATACATTTTAGAAAATTACACAAAATTGTTTTATTGTTCATACTAATGTATTTGTGAACTACGAAGTCTAGAAATAAAATCTGTTTGTCCACCAGGAAGTGGGAATTTCTGGAGTTTCTACTGGTATAAATCTTGCTGCTAGTATTAATGTGTCATTAGTGTAGAACTGAATATTGCCCTTGTTTGGACTTAGGGCAGTATAATTTTGGAGGGAAATTCCACATTTGGGAAAATAAGGGAAACAGTTCTCTGATGGGGTTTGTTAGTGATTTTGGTTGTTTTTTTGTTTTTTTGTTATTTAAATTATGGATGTTAGAAGATTGACCTGCAGGTCCCTCAAGCAATCCCAATTAGCTGGTCCATCCTTAGGGCATCCAAAGAGTTGACTTCCTATGTTACCTTGTCTTCTTTAATCACCTCTCCTAGTTCAGAGTGTGAGGGAACCAGAACAGCAGGCACCATAAATAAAAGATAACAAGACAAGGTCTCCTTGGGAACCAAGACAACAGATCAAGAATGGGGCTGTCACTGTTTTTTCCAGGAAGCAATCAAAATTGATACCTGCCAGTAAAAAAATATCAGGGAGAAGCTTTGTCAGTTGATTGTGGCATCATTTGCCTGACGCTCACAGTAGAGTATGCACTCATCTCTGATAAGATATGTAGTCAATTATCCCTCTGGACCTTAAATGTTTCTATTGCGTGCTGTCTGGAATGTTTCCTGAAGATGTATGGCTGGTTGTTACAATTTATTCTAGACCTCGTTGCTGGGATTTGAAACATTCTCCCATTCTCTATCTGGAAAATCCCAAAACAATTAAGTGTGCCAGTCTTGCATTAATTATCCTAACTCTAGCTTCACATGGGTTTAATTCAACATTTTTACAGTATTTTACACTGGGAGTGAGAGGGAGTAAACTACCCATTTGAGTCCTTGGAGGCTTCCAAACACTTCTAGGGTTGCCCTGAAACTAGGTTGAGGGCAGGTCAGCAGAGATATGGAACAAAACTGAATTAAATTGTTGGAGAACAGATGCAGGTGGGGCTTATTAAACTACCGGGTGCAACTAATAAGCATAAACAAGGGGATAAAGAAAGGAGTGGCTAATGGTAGGAAAAATCCTATGCTACCTATATCACAAATTAGAAAAGGGAGGATTTTAATTTGATTCTGGTTTATGCCCCAGAAAAGGGAGGGCTTTGAGGTTTACCTGGGATATGTCTAGGCTACATGCCTCTGCTGAAAGAGGCATGTAAATTAGACTACCTGGCATAGTCAGTGACGCAGGGATTTAAATATCCCCTGCTTCATTAAAATAAAAATGGTTGCCGCGCTGTGCCAGCTCAGGTGATCGTCGGCACAGCGCAGCAGTCAAGACACGGATTGGTCGACAGGGAATGCCTTTGTTGACCACTCCTGTAAACGTCACTTCACGAGGCATAAGGGAGCGGTTGACAAAAGCATTCCCTGTCGACCAATCCGTGTCTTGACTGCTGCGCTGTGCCGACGATCACCTGAGCTGGCACAGCGCGGCAACCATTTTTATTTTAATGAAGTGGGGGATATTTAAATCCCCGCTTCATTGACTATGTCGGGTAGTCTAATTTACATGCCTCTGTCGGCAGAGGCATGTAGTCTAGACATACCCTTGGTTTCCTCCTGTAAATGAGGCAACTCTAACATGGGCCTATACATACTTTAAGAAGAAGACATTATTTTGTCCCGGTGGGCAGTTGTAATTTCTGATGCAGAGCCCATTCCAAGACATAGGATTAATATGACCTGCCTTTTCCCAGAATTTGAGAAGATACTCGGGCCCAATATTTCAAACATGTGCACTTCTCTGTGCTTGAAAATGTAGAGCTAAAAGTGACTTCTTAGTGCCGTAAGGCCACAGTATATTGTTTGGGTTCTTTTTGGCAGAACGCTGCAGTGTCAAGCGGATTTGTATTTCCTTACATAAACCATTTTCCAGCCTGACTAGCAGCTTGTTTACCTCTTTTTAAAAGAGGCAGCTTGCTTGCCAGGTGCAGTTTCTCAAACTCTCACAGCACTACGTGGTATAAAAATGTCACAGGGAGGATTAAACTCTCATCAGTGCGCCAACTGCGGTGCATGTCGTTTCTTTTTCTTGTGTTAACAGCAAGTTCATATTCAGAATACCTGTCTCTCTAACTTACTGTAGTAATCCTGTAGAGTGCATTCAGTGTCAGAAATATTTAATTAACCTTCACTCTAACAATAAATCACTGCCATATATGTTCCATGGAGTTCAGTTTTATCACAACTCTCAGGGTTATCACTTATGAATAAATACAATAAGAGGTTCCCTGCTCTTCCCATTAGTACTCCAGCTGATATTATAAAGATAAATCTGTTCAATACTTAGTAAGTTATGGCTTTTTACCAGTCAGTCAGAACTTGATTAAAGTCTTAAACAAACATAAATATAGGCTTAAAAACAAATGTTTAGTGTGAATGATTTTACTTGTTGGAATTATGGCCCTCATCACTAATATAGACATATCAAAACAAAGTAACAGTGACTCTGTCAAAAGGGTTGTATATTACAGATTTCTCATTCAGTGACTGTGAATAAATCAGCACTTATTGCCTAATTAAACTACTATGTCATGTTTACAGTGTCGCCAGCATCTCAAGAATTGTGTCCAGTATTAACTGCTGGTCTAGGCTTTAAGAAAACTGTAATTTTAAAAAACCAGATAGGCAAACATTTGATTTTTAGATCTGCTTTTTTGATAATGTGGACAACATTTAAATGTGCTTATAAGAATTCTTGTGTCTCACCTGTATTAATCAACTATCAATATCCGTGTCATATTTCCAAGGTTGCAGAAGTTCACCTGTGGACAAGAAGTTAAGTAAGACAAATGGGAAATATGTTATCCTAGTAAATGAAATGTCTAGAGTTGGGCATTAGGCCATGTAGGGCAAGTTTTATTTGTTTTGACTTCATTAAAGTCACTCATACTTCAGTAGGGTATTTTTCAGATCATAAAAAACAGAGCAGCCTCTATGTAACATCAAGGCTTGGTTGTGAAATGGTGTTTAGAGTTATTCTCACATCAGTAAAGCCAGTGAGAGTTTTTCTGTTGACTTCATTGGGCTTTGGACTATGCCCCTGTAGAGCAATGAATTAAAAGCATTTCTGTCTTAAGGCTAGACTCTACCTCTTGCTTTCCAGCAGTGCCCCAGAATTCAAGGTTCCAAATGAGGATGGAATCTGGACACTACACTATTCTTTTCTAACTCCCAATTCCACTTATTTTTCCTGTTGTGCTATTTAAGAGTTATTAAGTTTGTTACAGAAGAAATAAAAACTGGCTGTATGTTAATATTAAATAAAATAATACCCAAAGGAACACAACAAAATATAATGTTAATGATCAGTTTCCTTATTCGGATATATTTGAAGAGTCTCAGCAGGTCTCAAAACGTCCATGCTTTCTTTTAAAACTATTTCCATGAATGTATTATATACCCCCAGGGCTATGTTACCACCCAGCCCAACAAATTTCTCCAGGAACACATTTGCCACTCTGTATATTTCATGAAGCTTATATGAAAGTAATATCTGTGTCTGGTATTAAATCTAACATACTCCTGTCTAGAATATGCAAAATAAGACTGTTTTCTAAATTTTCTTTTATTAAAACATTTTTCTTCTCTTGGGCCTTGATTTTGAAGCTTGGCTTTTCCGGGCATATTAAATAAAGATTTTGCAAGTGCTCCGTGCTATTGTCTCTCTGAAACCATGGAGTCTGGTATCTGAAATGCACCTCACAATAAACTGTTCTTTTATACCCATCCATTTACACTCAAATGTCACTCAGACTAAGTCATTCTGCTTTCAGGCTAGTAGCCAAAATATACCCTATGTTCGGAACACTGGAAACGCTAGCTGCTGTCTCACCAAAGATTTTATTTTCTTTTTCTATAAAGCTATTGTTTTGCCTCTGGAAGCCTGAGGGCTGTATTCCTAGTCTTGCAAAGAATTATGCATAAGTGACTTCCCTGAGACTCCCCATATGTAACACTTGGAAGGACCAGGGCCTGTGCCAGTGACACTGACACTCATGCTCAGAATACAAAATTCAGAGGTCACTGGCAAGTCT